GTAGTCCCTCCTTTGTAGGTAGAGGGTGGCTGTTCCTACATGCCAGTCATCCTCTGGTAGACCCTCCTCTTTAGATAGTAAGTGACTGTTCCTCCACCCCAGTCATCCTCTGGTAGTCCCTCCTTTGTAGGTAGAGGGTGGCTGTTCCTACATGCCAGTCATCCTCTGGTGGTCCCTCCTTTGTAGGTAGAGGGTGGCTGTTCCTACATGCCAGTCATCCTCTGGTGGTCCCTCCTTTGTAGGTAGAGGGTGGCTGTTCCTACATGCCAGTCATCCTCTGGTAGACCCTCCTCTTTAGGTAGGAAGTGGCTGATCCTTCAGAGAGGTCATCCTCTGGTACTTCCTCCTTTGTAGTTATCTGGTGGCTGTTCCTTCAGGACGATTATTCTCCGAACCACCTGCAGGAAGCATGTGTGCATTTCCCTTTTCCTTCTTCTTGGCTTCTTTCCAGCATTGGCTTCAAGGCCAGCAAGGGAAGAATGTCCCGCCCCATGGTTGGGCCCCTCCTAGATTGCCAGCTATGTCCTGTTTCCCGGTCACTGCTGGCTGGCGAGGTGCCCATCCTTCTGGTGCTCATCAGCTTCCCAAGTATGAGAAGGTGCCAAAAATGGGCATGAATATGTCAATCAAGGGGATAATGTCCTAGTAGAACGTCGCCAAGTGTATTGTTAGCGGTTAATGTCAGCTGCTGATGGGAGAATCGGACTGTTGCATTGTGGGTTTACGCTGTAGTTGTGTCAGTGGTTTGCTGTGGACCTCCATGTCACGCTGCAGAGATTAACCTGAGAAGCCCAGCTTCCAGTCTTCAGCTGACACTCTGCTCCACAGTCTCCTTAATTAAACATCCTTGTTAGTGAAATTAAACGTCTCTCTCTGATGCTAATCCTGCCTTCATAGTTTGCCTCCATATGTGCATCATAAAATAATTCCAATTATGCTGGTATATGTAAACTCAAAAGAGTTTTATTGAGCAAAAAATTAAACAACAAAACTATCTGTTATAAACTACATGCCCAGGGTTGTTCATGGTTTCATATGCCACTTTAAAGGGTTAAAAGATGTTTTTGTGTTTTTCCTCTAAGCTAGTAATGTGATTTTACCCACACTGATTTATGAACTACAAAGGGAATTCTTTAATTCGTTGCTTCATTAATTATTTGCGTATCTTACAGTTTTAAAGTTAACGTCCTCAGACAGTGTGCTGCGGCTGTAGGTATGGTGCCGTACTCATTAAAGCGGCTTGGCGGAGACGGTCAGCGCCGGCGTTCGTGTGTCTGGAGGTAGCCCAGGCAGACGGGCGCCCTGTTCCTACAGAGGACACTAACTGGGTCGTGCGCAGTGCTCAGAGCTCCGGCGTGTCTGTATCTGCGAATCGGGACTAAGCGCAGCAGCCATCCAGGTAAAAAGGACACGGATCAGTCAGACGGCTGAGCGAGGGGAGTGAGGGGGGAGCGATGAGGAAGCGATGGTGGAGTGTAGCGGACTCACCACGGGCTGCAGTGGAGGCTGCAGTGGCGCGCAGGCTCACTGCAGCGTCCTTAGTCAGCATTCAGGGAGCTTCCTCTGCTGACTCATTTAAAGGGGAGAAGGATGGGGGGGGGGGGCTGAGCCTTGAAGGCGCACCCCCCACCCCACCTGTCTCTCTCGGCCCTGCTCGCTGGCCCCCTCTGGTGTGCCAGACCCTGCAGCTCGCCGCCAATCACGTCGGCCACGGCTGCCGGCCGGTTGAGGGGAGCAGGAGGGGGCGGGGGGAGTCCCTCTCTCTCGCTCCCCCCCCCCCGCCCCCCCTGTTTCTCGGAGGGAAGCAAGCAGATGGAAATCCAGAGCACTGCAAAGCTGCCTCCTCCCCGAGCTCTGGCAGTTTCCGGGAATCCTGCAGCTGGAAGCTGACGGGGTGAGGGGGGGGGGGCACCCTCGTCACAGCCTGATCTAAGGTGCACCCCCGGCACCCTCTCCCAACCGGCCCCCCAGGTGGACGACGCTCTCCTCCGGGGTACGCCTGTATCCACCGTCGCTTTTGTTTTCCACAGAAGCAGGGAGGGAAAAGTTTGGGTCCTGTCGCCTGCGGGACTGTAGACCCCCCCCCCAGCCTCCCGTCCACCCATCCCCTTTCGGCCACGGGCCTCCTCGGCCCCTAGGGGAGGGGGGCCACCGTCCATCATACGCAATCCCAGCCCCGGGAGCCGTGCTGCGACATGCTAGCCTCCGTGTGGTACGCTAAGAGGATGGGCCGTCGCCTGATCCGGACCCTGCGCGGGACCAAGAGTCTGCACCTGTTGGTAGGTCTGTGGCGGCGGTGAGCGGGAGCCTGGCTCGTTGGAATGCGTGCCACATCCCCCCCGGTGGGAGCCGTTCTGATCGGCGCGTGTGAATCATTTAAAAGGACAACTGAGAGGAGCCACCTCCACAGAGAGGCTGCCGGTTACTGCCGGCCGGGATCGCCGTCTCTCCACGCCGTGCCGAGATTATGAGCGCCAGGGCGAAGCCAAGCGGGGGCTTGGGCTTGTACATCTTGCTCCTTCA